CAGGACGTGTTTGGACCATTTGGAAGCCCTATTCCGCAGCTTTCTAATGCCTCCCTAGCTGCTCCATAGAACTCTTTCGTTCGAGAGTGACACCCCCTCACTGTCAGTCAGTACCATGAGGAGAGGAGGTATAATAACTCCTTCAGCTCTGCTCGCATTGGGGATATTCTTGGACTGTCTGGAAGCTCTGCTCTCTACCTTCTCAATGCCCCCTCGATCGCCCCATGGAGCTCCTTTGTTCAGGAGTGGTGTCCTCCTCATTGTCAGCCAGTACTATGAGAAGGGCAGGTACCACCACTCCTTCACTTTTGCTTGCATTTGGGATGTTCTGGGGGCGTCAGGAAGTGCTTCTGAACCTCTTTCCAATGCCCTATCTGGTGTTTAGGTCAATGCCTGCATTCTGAGCTATCCTCCTGTCACTGTCCCCCTCACACCGAAACCTTTCCTATGGTACCTTCAACTTTATCTCCATGATTTATTTAAACTTTGTGACCATTTTCTACCTTCGCGGGCTCAGGTTTTAGAGGGGGGGGTACTGTCATGCCTTGCTTCTCCGGACCTTTCCCTTTCCTTTCCAGAGCTCCGGTTCATCACTTATACATGTTTCCGATATTCTATGCACCATCCTTACGATCTTTACTGTACATATTACCTGTCACTTCAGTAGCCACATGACATATGTACCTGACAGCCTCATGTACAGTATATAGGCTGGGGACTCCCCTCGGAGCTCCCCAGCGTGTTATTGTCAAATCTTACCTGGAAACTCTTCCTACCTGGCTTGGTCCCTTTAGTACAGTCTACTAGTACTTGCTAACAGGGCCTGACACGTCTCAACAGTCATATATTTCCTCATTATCTGTTTCCTTTATCTCTGTCTCACCTCAACTCTGTTTCTCCTCACTGTTTCTGATCTCTGGCCTCTTTCTGTCAATCCTCGTATTGTCTACGCCTCTACTTCGACTCACCATCTACGTCGAGGCTCTACAATTCGTCCTTCATCCTTTGGAACCTCCCATTAGGTTCCCAATTCCGCTTTATTGCTCCCTAAGCTCCCCACAGCTTCCCACTCGTATCAGCTACACCTCCCCTCCACATCGAAGCGGTGGTTACGCGTTACGTTCTACACCTCCAGGACCCTCTATTAGGTCTACCCAAGCTCCACAACTACCCCTGGTTAGGCTCCCCTCACCAGTATCGGCACTATCCCATACCTCCTCGTACGGCCTAGGCGGCTACTGCGTTCGCTTAGGCCCAGTCTGGGTAAGACCAGAGCAGGCCATCTGTGCCGGGGCCTCACAGATCCTAGCAGGTAGACAAGCCTCTCTAAGCCTCTCCACAGGCCAGGAGTTCAGCAGAATTTCCTGCAAAGATTCCTCAGGTTTCTTCACATTAAATCTACTCTTGGGGGGAATGTTCATGCCGTCAAGCCCCTCCACAGGCCAGATGTGTGAACGGACTTACATTCCTACCAACTCTACCCCTTACCCGCTGTTGAACCCCCAACCAGGCTCATCAAAATGAGTGAAGAAGGTAGCAGCCACTCGTAGGAAATGCGCTAGCTCTGCTCAGCATAGGTAGGCCAACGGCGACTCAAACAGCATGCAATTTGGGTGGTGCTGGATGCGACTCCTGTCATATGCATGCAATTCACCCCATACGCTTCCCGGCCCGGCCCGGAGCGGCCGGACTTCGGAATAATTACCTTGTGACTTATTTATTATTCCGAGCTTTCATCGAGGTCTTATGACTACTGTATTTGTGATGTATATAAGCTAGAATACTTTGTACGTTGTAGTCAAGCTTGAAATCAAGTGTACCATCTTATCCCAGTCTTTAATATCTTCTTTACCCTTTGCTTCCGGACTCCCGGATCATCAGGAACCCCATTTAGGCTGCTCATCCCAATCTTGCACTCTTGCCATAATTCCCGGGGACACCAACAGTGTGTGAAGGGTGTTGCTAATAGCTTCACCGACGTCCCACTCCCAGTGTGTACTACAGGCCAGTACTCGGCTCCGGACCTCGGAGTTATCCCGGGCCATTTCCGGCCCATATCCGACCTCAGAACCTCTATAGTTATTGACCTGTAGGCACGGTCTTGTCAACTCCCATCAAACTTGAGTTGTTCAATACTTCATCTCTTCCCGCCGCCTCAAACAGGTGGAGTGCCTATTCTCGCACTGAACTCAGCCCTGGTTTACTGTAAGACCTGGGTCAGAATAGGTCTTAAGGTAGGGTTTGGTATACAAAGGTTTATGTTGTAGCATGCTAGGAGCAGGCTGGAGCTCGAAGGGAGCTATGGGAACCGCGACCGAGGACAGGAATGACCTAGTAGTGGCTGGAGCGAAGAGGTGGTGACCCTTGAGGGGGTTCCTAGGAGGTCCAGGGAGGTCCCTAAGGCGTAGGGAGGTTAGGTAGAAGGAGTGTTGGAGGTGGTAACGGAGAAGCAATACGTGGTTTGACGTTACTTAGATCGAGGTCCTGAAGCTCAAGGAGGTTTGGGGAGGTTAGCTCACCAAGGCAGTGACACGCCTAGATTTTGGCTAGACGTCTAGGCTGTGAATTGTGACATTTTCACGTATAGATTTGTATCGAGAGGACTGTAATTGAGACCCAGATTGACAGTCAAAGTCAATACTGAATCAGTCTAATAAGTTGAAGGGACCATATACCCATACTACCACAAGTTGGTTAGTTTACCCATCCCTGATCCTACCTTCGGATAGCAGTCTACCTGTTTGTCAAGCAGGATTATACCAGACTCGGACTACATCCGAAGGATGACCATTCACGTATGACATACCAAGGGTATTCTTATTAGACCTTACACTGGCAGGAGTTTGGAAGAACTTACTCAAGTGACCATGAGCCGAGGATTGACTCGAAATGACTTTCTAGAACTCAGGAATTATCAAATACTCCTTCTAGAACGAGATCATGCATTAATCTAAAAGACTGCGATTTAGTCTAATAGACCAATCAAGTTGCATGGTTGAGGAAAATGACTAGAAGAACGATCAAAGTACTGCGAGGCTCCGAAGACATATCAAATGAATGTCAAAGAGTCCTGACGTAGAAAATGTTGAAGAATGCAATTAAATGAATACTATGCATAACTCCCTGGATAGAGTATAGGCACATTGGGTGTCTGTTGAAAGAGAGAAGCAATTAGTTTAATCCAGATGAATCAGATTGATAGGATTAGAATCGAGGAGAGCTGATTTGCCTCCGGACGAGGTGACAAATGATCGAAGTAAGTGTTGAACAGCAATGACAATTGAACACCATTCGAGTCATTCTCCAAAACAATTAAATTAAATGAATAACGAAGTACCTACCTATGTTTGGAGGTATACTTGAATCTTGGGACCATTATGGACCAAATAAGGACATATAGATTCAAATTAAATGGTATCTGACTGATTGTAGAAGTTTCCTGGCGGTTCCGAACGTTTATTGTCTTAAATTAATTGTACTGTGCGACTCTATGTTCTGTATGTATAAATAGCGATCCGAAGTATCTGGAATACAAGTGATTTTGGGACGACGTTGCAGTGCTAATCCGTAAAAAGGAAAGACACACTCCCACCAGACTGAAACCTCTTCGCTAGCAGCCATTCGGGCCCGGCACTTGTGAGTATAGGAACGTTGTGTTCTGCTCCTTGTGACTGCGAGAAGTATATCCAGTTGTTGGGTATTCTTCGAACTTAGGATCAGTTGTTGGTCTTAAGGGCAAATCACACTGTGTGGTTGTGCCAGCACATAGTTCTAGCCCTCCGAGGGGTCTGTGTGTTTCGGTTTTAATTTACTTTGATTCAAACTCCCAATTCTTGATATACCCATATCAATACAAACCAAAGCACAAATCGTGCTGAATCTACCTTGATCAAAGGAATATATCGAATCCTTAGAACGATTCAAATTGATTGATCAAAGCTTCTTACTAGGCTTTCAAAGCTTTGCGGAACCTTTGCCAATGCTACCCCTTGCTATTAAATAAATTTGATAGCAGTGAACTCGCATATTGTGTATTAGATTGGTTGGTTGGAGTGCCCATTAGATTCCTTTCTCTTTCACACAAAAACGAGGCAAGCTTGTTAGCGGTAGGCGTTGGGGAGCTTTAGTATTGTTCGAGGGAGCTCGGGGACTCACTCGGATTGCTTAGACGTGAAGTAAAAGCGTGTATTGGATCGTATAGACGATTGTAGAGACAATAGACAAGAGTTGAGAGAAACAGAGATAAAGAAATAGAGAGTAAAGAGAATTCCGTATAGGTAGCAGGTACAAAGGGACAGGGACTGGACCTATGTAAAGGGTGTGTGTTCAAAATATACCAAGCTGGGGCTTCTGGACGTTGCGGCGCTACTTAAATAGGTACAGGAAGTGAACAAGAGAACATCTGGAAACATGAGGCAGCTAATCGAGGGAGGAAGGTAATCGAGATTTAGTACTTAAAGGGGTTGGCGGTTAGGAGGGTGTTGTATGCGTATCGTGGTGAGTGTCAGGACGTTTGGGTAGGTATGTCAGGGGAATGGTGATAATTGGGGAGGTGCATGGAGGAGGAGGGGATTGGGGAGGTGTATGGTGGTACTTGGGGAGGTGTAAAGGTGGGTAGGAGATGGTGGCTGGTACTGGGACAGGTCTGGTTGTAGCCAGGGCATGACATTTACAGCGACTTTGGCGTAACCTCAATGCGTTGACCAAGTCACATCTCCGTCTTTTTGATTGGGATGGGGAGTGAGTTGGAGGTCAATGCTTTAGCTTATTATTTTCTAATCTACAGAACTTATCCAGGTCTCGAGTTGTTCTCCTCGATGCCTCAGATCGGGTCATAGCGGTTTTGGGTGGGATTCCGCCAAGTTCTGCTGGTGAGGGCTGGCGAACAGCTGTGCACAAGGCTAGTGAGGTGGTGGAAACCTTTTGGGAGAGCAGCTTGTTCACCAAGCAACTTCTTCGATGCCATCCTCATCTCTGGGCAAACTTTCCTGGTACCCCGTATGCTGGTCCCCAATCATTTTCGCCCCCCTCATCAAGACCCTGACAACACTGTTCACAGCTGGTGCACTGATACTCCCCTCGCCAAGTACGACCCCGACTTAGGCAGTCATCTCATACTCTGGGATCCCCGTCTTCCCATTCGTTTCCCACCAGGTTCCACCATCCTCTTCCCATTGGCAATCATCACCCACTCGACTTTGCCAATTCAAAAGGGGGAGACTTGATCCGCATTAATTCAATACTCCTCCGGTGGGCTCTTTCATTGAAGGGCTAATGGATCGGAAAGGTATTCGTAGGACAGAGGCAGGCCTGGATGACTTAAGTGATCTTAGTAGTTCTGAGATGGGACTCTTACCTACAGCTAGACATATGTGTTCATAATTTGTATGTAAAAATGCATTGGGAAAATCTATCAAATCTACTCATGTTACAAACTTTGAGTATCACAGAGTGCCATAGGATTTCTGCCGCTTCTGCTTATGCTCTGGAGAAGGAGGTCTGAAGGGCATGGAGAAGTGCTGTTTGAGTCAACGCTCCAAAGGTTCACCCAAAACGGGAAGCGAATCAGATACAGTTCTACGGAACTTCCTCGTAGTCATTGGGAGACTTGAGATTGGGGAGATAGGCCGAGAGGGAGGTGGGGCAGTCAGATGTGGAGAGGCCATAGTGCGGGGTCTTGTCAGTTGAATTGAGAGCGCCTCAACTACTGTGCTTGATTCTGAGATTTCCGGAGATTCTGGAAGCGCTACTGCCTCTGAGAGAAGGTTCTCTCAGCCATAGAGACGTGGAAGTAGGGTGGTTACTTCCTGGTGAATCCGCTGACTGATCTGTATTCCAATAGCAGAGTGCTGAAAGAGGTTGAGATCCATGAGAGGGTCCTCATCAGAATCCAAGCTGGTAGCGGGTGATTCTACAATAGCCTCGCTATCTGTGTCCCCCTGCTCATCAAGACCATTTCCTAGGATAGTAGAGTCACCACCAAGAGCTTGAATTACAGCCCAGTCAATAGGTTCTGGGGACAGTTGAGATTTGGGAACCACAGCCATCAGATTAGAAGTTTTAGATGACATGGTTTGACAGGCAATCTCCTGGGCACTAGCTAATGTTTGAGGATAGTGAAATGGTTTCTCGGTCCATGCATTGATAACATAACGGAAAGCACGGAGGTGCTTACAAGCTCCTCCTTGGCTGTAAAAGTTTGGGCAAGAACACGAAGCATTGCCAAAGCGAGAAATAGTGAGCTGGTAAGATGTAGAACCAGACATTGAAGCGCAAGTTGTCACAAACATATCATGGTTGGAACCGAAGGAAGGAGTTTGCAGCCAATAAGACTGAAGGATATGTTGAGCTTGAATGTTCCTAGACTCATCGACAGCCCACCAGCAAACACTGATGAGAGCTTGAGAATGCTCTTGCTTTTTGGCAATGAATTTCTGCTGAAGTTCTCCAAGGTTCTGGCCACCAGCACCTTCTCGAAATCGTGAATCCAGCCACAAATAATGCTGTCTTTGCATCTGTCGACGACTGTATACCTGGGGTAGGATTTCAGTGAGCAATAGGAATATCAAAATATCAAAACACAGTCGGTGGCCAGAATGTAAATATTGGTGGAGATATTTCCACTCCAAGATAGCATTGAAAGATTCCACGTGGTTGGTTGTGGGGATGACACCTTGTACAGGGATTGAAAGAGCTGCAGCCACAGCAAGGCGTCCCCATTCAGACCAACTCTGCCAGAGTGACATGCTCATCCAATTGACATTGATATACCTAACGTGCTCTAGTCCAGCTTCTGCTTGTCATGCCTCGCCCCGAATTGCATAGCCCATAAGCTCCTTAACATAGTTCCCGACCTCCTCAACCCCCTTCCCTGAACCCCTGAGAGCACTCCCAACATCCCGCAGACCTCCTTACTGCTAGAACAACCTCCACAATCCTTAGTTCCCCTCAATTCAACCGAACAACTCCACGACAGGGTCCTGGAACCCCGTACATGCGCCCATCATTCTGTCCTCATGTACTTAGAAACCCCATTAAGTGCTCGTTTCATATTATGTCCCTTTGTTAACTTCCCTATACGTATTTAAGCAGTCCAGTAGTGTCCAGAAGCCCAGCTTGGTATATTTTGAACACACACCCTTTTGCATAGGTCCAGTCCCTGTCCCTTTGTACCTGCTACCTATACAGATTTCTCTTTACTCTCAGTTTCTCTATCTCAGTTTCTCTCTACTCTTGTCTATCGTCTCTACAATCCAATATATGCTTTTACTTCACATCTAAGCAATCCGAGTGAGTCTCCGAGCTCCCTCAAACAATACTAAAGCTCCCCAATGCCTAAAGCCTTGGTGAGCTAACCTCCCCAATGCCTAAAGCCTTGGTGAGCTAACCTCCCCAACGCCTAAAGCCTTGGTGAGCTAACGTCCCCAACGCCTAAAGCCTTGGTGAGCTAACGTCCCCAAAACCTCCTCGAGCTCCCCCATTGCTCCAAAAGCTTTGGGACCTCGACCTAGGTAATGTCGAAGCTACCTCCCATGTCAAACTACGTATCGCTTCTCCGTTACAACCTCCCATACTTGAGGACATCCACCCTCAAGCCCAGTCCCTGGGAACCTACCCTCCCGGGCGTATACCTTCTCAGGAGCTTACACACTCGAGACCCCTTTCCACTACGACCTATTCGATCTTACATTGACATTCTAGCGAGTACAACCCCTACTACGCAACACTACCAGGTTCCGTACTTCTGCTTAACCTCCATACGCCTTAGGGACCTCCCTGGACCTTATAGGAACCCCTTCAAGGGTCATATCTCTTCATCCCAGCCATTACTAGGTCATTCCTGTCCTCGGTCACGGTTCCCATAGCTCCCTTCAAGCTCCAGCCTGCTCCTAGCACGCTACAACATAAACCCTTTCATACCAAACCCTACCTTAAGACCTATTCTGACCCAGGTCTTACACTGCTGCTCTCTTTGTGTAAGACCTGGGTCAGAATAGGTCTCAGGGTAGGTCCTGGTATAAAGAGCTCACGTTGCAGCATGCTAGGAGCAGGCTGGAGCTTGAAGGGAGCTACGGGAACTGCGACCGAGGACAAGAATGACCTAGTAGTGGCTGGGATAGAGAGATGTGACCTTTGAAGGGGTTCCTGTAAGGTCCAGGGAGGTCCCTAAGGCATAGGTAGGGGAGGTAGAGGTACAGAACCTAGTAGCATTGCGTAGAAGGAGTTGTACTCGCTAGAACGCATAAGATCGAATAGGTCGTAGAGAGAATGGGTCTTGAGTGTATAAGCTCCTGAGAAGATATATGCCCGGGAGGGGAGGTCCCGGGATCTGGGGCTTAAAGGTGGACATCCTCAAGTGTTGGAGGTGGTAACGGAGAAGCAGCACGTAGTTTGATGTAGGGGGTAGCTTTGACATTACCAGGATCGAGGTCCCAGAGCTTGTGGAGCAATTGGGGAGCTCGAGGAGGTTTGGGGAAGGTTAGCTCACCAAGGCGTTAGGCATTGGGGAGCTTTAGTATTGTTTGAGGGAGCTCGGAGACTCACTCGGATTGCTTAAATGTGAAGTAAAAGCATATATTAGACCGTATAGACAAGAGTAGAGACAACAGACAAGAGTAGAGAGAAACTGAGATAGAGAAACAGAGAGTGAAGAGAAATCTGTATGGTTAGCAGGTACAAAGGGACAGGGACTGGACCTATGCAAAAGGGTGTGTGTTCAAAATATACCAAGCTGGGGGCGTTGATGTTACCAAGGATACTTATATAGTTGGGATGAATAGGTAAAGAAACATTGTAATAAACGAGCATCTAATGGGGATGGCATGAAGTGCGGAGCCCATGAGGCTAATTGATAGGGGATTGTCCGATGGCATACGCGAGTCTCGGGACTGGTGGTTCATGGGGGTTTCATAGGAGGTTATGGGTTCATGGGAGGTTATTTAGGAGGTGCGGGACATTGTGGTCCCGAGAAGGGACTGGGGAGGTTGGAAACTAGGCTGGGGAGGTTGGAAACTAGGCTGGGGAGGTTGGGAACTATGTTAAGGAGCTTGTGGGCTATGCGATTCGGGGCGAGGCATGACCCAGCGCAGGTTCCCGGACCTAGTACTGAGCCTCCTACTCCTGAAAACAGAGAACAACCCTCTGTCACTCCCGGTGACGAAGCTAATACCCTGATCAGACTATGTCAGGAAGGGGGAGCTGAATTAATATATTCTCTCATGGCTAGGGCCATTCCATTTGAGGGGGAGGTGAAAGGCTCTGAGAACATCTGTGAATGGACTTACAAGGACATTACTTGCTGAGCTAAGGCTGAGCGTGAGGAATGGCTTAAGGCCTGCCAAGAAGAGCTTGAAGCGCTCAAACGGTGTGGTACTTTTGAATTCATGGATTGTCCAGCAGACCGAAAGGTCATTAAGAACTGCTAGGTCTTTGACATCAAATCTGATGGCTGTAAGAAGGCATGCCTTGTTGTCAAAGGGTTCTCACAAATTGAAGGTCTTGATTATGACCAAGTCTTCTCTCCTGTAGTATGGTTTGAGACTGTTAGACTGTTGCTTGCCTTGACTGCGCTGAACAACTGGTATCTCACTGGACTTGATGTTCAAAATGCCTATCTATATGGCGTCTTACATGAGACTATCTACATGGAACAGCCTGAAGGTTTTTGAATCAAAGGCAAAGAGGATAAAGTCCTCTTACTGCGCAAAGCTCTGTATGGACTGAAACAAGCAGGTCTTGTCTGGTGGCGAACACTGGACTCATACATGAAAACACTCAGCTTCAAATGCTTGAGCTCTGATGCAGATATCTTTGTCCATTGAGGAAAAGATGGCTCTCTAGTCATTGCCATTATCTACGTTGATGACGCACTCTTCGCTGGACCTGACAAGAAACTCGTAGCTTCTCTTAAAGGGAAATTCATGTCACACTGGGAATGCAGAGATCTTGGTGAAGCCAAAGAATTCCTTTGCATGCAGATTACTCATCATGGCAAAAAGATCTATATTGATCAATGCACCTACCTTGACAAAATCCTTAAGCATTGTGGTATGGAAAATGCTAAAATGGCTAATACACCACTTCCTGCAGGGTTCCAACCTGTAAGACCTGGGTCAGAATAGGTCTTAAGGTAGGGTTTGGTATAAAAGGGTTTATGTTGTAGCATGCTAGGAGCAGGCTGGAGCTCGAAGGGAGCTACGGGAACCGCAACCGAGGACAGGAATGACCTAGTAGTGGCTGGGATGAAGAGGTATGACCCTTGAAGGGATTCCTAGGAGGTCCAGGGAGGTCCCTAAGGCATAGGGAGGTTAGGTAGAAGTATGGGACCTTGTAATATTGCATAGTAGGAGTTGTACTCGCTAGAACATCAATATAGGATCGAACAGGTCGTAGATGGAAATGGGTCTTGAGTGTGTAAGCTCCCGAGAAGGTATACACCCGGGAGGGTAGGTCCCCAGGGACTGGGCTTGAAGATGGACATCCTTGAGTGTTGGAGGTGGTAACGGAGAAGCAGTACGTAGTTCGACGTAAGAGGTAGCTTCGACGTTACCTAGATCGAGGTCCCGAAGCCTATGGAGTAGCTAGGGAGCTCGAGGAGGTTTGGGGAAGGGTGGCTCACCAAAGCGTTTAGGCATTGGGGAGCTTTAGTATTGTTCGAGGGAGCTTGGAGACTCACTCGGATGGCTTAAACTTGAAGTAAAAGCGTATATTTGATCGTATAGACAATCAGAGAGACAACAGACAAGAGTAGGGAGAAACTGAGATAGAGAAACAGAGAGTAAAGAGAAATCCGTATAGGTAGCAGGTACAAAGGGACAGGGACAGGACCTATGCAAAAGGGTGTGTGTTCAAAATATACCAAGCTGGGGCTTGGGGACGTTGCGGAACTACTTAAATAGGTACGGGAAGTGAACAAGGGAACATCAGGGGATCTAACGGACATGAGGCAGGTAATTGAGATTTCTACTTAATGCAGTTGATCGTAGGAGGTCCGTAGGCATGTTGGGGGAGCTATGCGTGTCGGGAAAGCCGTCGGACATTCAGGGAATGGGGAAGTGGGAAGGTTCCATAAGTCTTAAGGGGGAGCAGAGCTAGGTAAGAGGTAGGGGAACATATGGTTGGTGCTGTGGCGGGCCTGGTTGTGGTCAGGGCATGACACAACCCAAACCCACCAAAGGCCAAGCAGATTCCGCTCTTTGTAGCAAGTTCCAGATGGTTATTAGTTCTCTTCTCTACCTTATGTTGGGCACATGTCCCGACATCTCCTTTGCTGTTACCAAGCTTGCACAACATGCAGCTAACCCATCTCAAGAGCACCCTCTATATTTGCCGCTACCTCCTAGGTACTAGATCATATGCACTTTGCTATGATGGTGAATTGGGTATTGGTCTCAGCGCTTGGACTGATTTGGATTGGGCTTCCGTGTCAGCAACTGGTTCTAGTAATGGGTGTCACCAGGTGTCAAACTCAAGAAAACCTGTCAAGTCCATGCCTCGGGCCTCCATTCCACCGCTCGGTATTCCGAAGATCCACTCTTATTGTAATATTACTCTTATTGTTCTTTCTCGCTACACATACCCTTTCGTTCTAGTCCCTTCTTATTGTCTTTTACTTTACCCTGCAGGTACTACTCGTATAGCTCCTAGTAGTTAGTCTGGCGCTCCGCACCGCTGCGCCGTTCCGTAGATATAAATACTGCCTGTACGCTACTGTAGTTCCTCAGTTTAATTATCGACTTAGATTCCC